TGGCGATCAGCGGATAGCAGATAGCGGATAGCGGATTGTATCAGCGGATAGCGAATAGCGGATTATATTAGCTGATTTGACCAGCGGATTGCATTAGTGGTTTTTAAATAAGTGTTTGGTAAATAGCTGAAAGCTTATAGCTGTTTGACATTGCAAAATGACCAATAAGGACATTTTATTATTTAGGGTGTATTCTTCTTTTAATAATAATATATTAAAACATTTAATATTTTTTAGTTGGTAATTTATAAATATATATATATACATATATATATATATATTTTAAATTTACTAACACTTGATGAAGAAGTTATGAATTTTACATTTTTCTAAGATAAATTAATCATATGGATTATTTATTAGCTCTATAAACCATTGTAGATTGTAAAATAAATAAGACAAATTAAAAAGTTCTAAGTAAAACCTCTCAATTGTGAATCCTCTATCCCAAAAAGCTGCTCTAATGAGCTTTTTCTAAATTAGAGTTTTCGGCCCAAAAAGCTTATCAAATAAGCTATTTACCAAACAAACTCAATAGCGGATTTGACGGGTCAAACCTCTCAATTAAGTCCAATCCGCTAATTTATCAATCCGCTATCTACCAAACGGGACCTATATCTTTTTAATGCAATGCATTTTGCACCAGATATAGAAGATCAGATTCTATGTATTTGAATCGATATAAAAAAATGTAAGATTCTATGTGTTGTATTTTAAATTAATATAAATTTTTTATATCGTACTTGATCACCCTATGTAAAAAGTATTTAAATGATCAAAATTTTTATTTTTTTAATTTTTTGCACCTGTTTATTGAAACCAAATGTACCATCACTACAAACAAATAGATAAAAAAAACAAAAACAAAATTACTAAGATTAGTTCATTATCAATAATACCTACAGAGTTTAACATTTCATAAAAAGCTAACAATACTATGAATCTCAAATAGTTCAACATAAACGGAATGTTACAAACAAAAGCTTATATAGTCTTATACTTTGCCAATGGAGTGATATCGAAAAAATACATGATCCACTGTCTCCGTATATCATCAATTTCTTCTTCCAAGTATGCTTCTTCCAAATCAAACANAAAAAAAAAAAAACCATAAATAACAATAAATCAAGACTACTTGTTATAAAAAAATATGATGATCGAGGTTGTTGTTCACGCTTATTTTGATAATTACTTTAGTTTACTCTTTAATAAAAACTTACAAAAAGTCTTAATCCCTTTTAATTTATTTTACTCAATTCTTGATAGATAAAAATTAATTAGGCTACTATAACAAGAATGATAACAAATAAAATAACTCAAAATCATACTTGTTATAAGTGATGAATTGAAATATGAAGAACTTCTATAAAATAAATAAATAAATAAACGGGACGCTACAATTTAACCTTCAATAGTAAGTTATTTTTTTAAGTTGTGGAATTTATGGTTATACTCAAATTTCGTGTTTATTTCCTTTTCACTCTCAAAATACATAAATAAACAAATACTATACATATATGTATATATTATATAGGGATTAGAGCTGTCAAAACAGTCCAGCGGGGAGGGCCGGCCAGTAGTCCGCCAATTGGCGAGGAGAGGCGGGCTGACCCTCCATCTTGGCGGTCCAGCCCGTAGCCCGCCAAATGACATGGCGGAGCGGGGCGGGACGTGTTGGTCCTCCATCTTGGCGGGCTTAAAAAATGCTGGTCCAACCCTTCCCCGCCTTGGGTCGCGGGTTTGGTGGGCCTTGCCCGCCAATTCTTAAAAAAATGCTCTATTAAAAAAATCCGTTGCAGATCATGCCTCTCATCTCATATTAACACCACCAAAATTCAAATCCACATAAAGGTGAAGTACAGATCTTAACACAGTTACCCGGATTTTAATTGATTTTAAAATTTAAAAAAAAAAACTAGCAGGATTCCTAACAATCTGATATTACATCACTTTCATGTTTCAAGATTTGTATTCCAATAACCCTAGCGAATGGAGTGTCGTCGAGCTTCAACCAAAATCCTGCCGCAACGAACCTGTCAGTCAGTTGAGGATGTGGCTGCGGGCGATTCGGAGTAGCCCAGAGTGTAATAGCATGTTTGTTTATAAAAAATTTTAGTTGTGTTTGGATTTTTTGATTTTGTTTGGTTAATTTTGAAAAAGGTAGTATGGTTAACTGTTAGTGAGTATATTAAAATAATATTTAAAATAAAATATTTAAAATTGTTTTTGATGTAAGAGTAGGAGAGAGAGATTTGAAGTGATGGTTAGTTAAAATAATGTGAGTGGATGAATAGTGAATTAAGGTTGATGTGGTGTGTATGAATGATTGATTGATATTATTTAACTATATTGATAATTTTGATGATAGTGGGGTTAAGTTAAATTTGAGTTAAAAAAAGTAGTTGAGTTAAAATGTTGGAAATTTTTTAAAAAATTCCATAAAACAAACATGAAATAAATGTTCCGTGGAGGGCAGCAGATAGACGGAAGTTCCGCGGACGGCAGCGAACAAGCAAAGTTCGGCGATTGGGGAACTGCGATTGAAGGTTTGGATGATTTGGGATGAGGGAGGGGCATGATTTTTTCGTTTATGGGCAGAGAGGAGTACTACAGTACTAGTCCGCTACATTATTATGTATTTCTTTTTTTTTTTAAAAAAAAAGTCAACGGGCCAGCTCGTGGGCTACCCCGCCCCGCCCCATCATAACCTACGGCATGCGCGGGCTGGCCCGTTTAGGCCCGCTTCTCGATGGGCCTAGAATATCTCGGCCTAACACGCCCCTTTGGTAGGGCGGGGCGGGCTCGCCCGCGAGCTTAAGCCCATTTTGACGGCTCTAACAGGGATTGGATAAAATGTATCATTATTTTTAAAATGATGTGAGACTCAATTCTAGCTATTAGAAAATATGGAACAAGGTATCTAGTCAAGATTTATTCTTTTTTTTTTTTAATTGCGTAAATAATGATTTGACAGCGTTGACCATTGACCGTTGGTGTTGACCATTGGCTGTAGTTTATGCCCCATTGTCCTGAAAATCTGCGTCCGCCCCTCAATTGCTATTCGACAATTTATAATAAGAAAATCAAAACTCTAAACATTCTTATATTTAAGAAATTGTAAAAAAAAAAAAGCTCTCATCTTGGAAAAAGAAGTTTTTGTCCAATGCACGTAAAGAATTCTTACTGAGGTCAGTTTTGGAGGTCCTACCACTTTATGCCATGTCTTGTTTCTTGCTTCCTACGAAGTTCAATATCAACCTAGCTAAGGCTATAAACTGGAAATCCTAGGACCTGCTGACTCTACCTAAGGACAAAGGAGGATTGTGTTTCCATGATGTCCATCTGATGAATAGAGCATTAATCACAAAGCAACTATGAAGAATATTAAACAACCCTAACCTTCTTGTTAACAAAATCCCCAAGGCCAAATACTACCCAAAAGGCTCTATCTTGACAGCAAAGAAAAGACAAAGTGGATCCCGGCTATGGGCAAGTTGGATGAAGGCTAAGAAGGACTTTCTTAATGGGACTAGATACCAAGTCAAATAAGGAGATGTTGTCAACATATGGAGACATCCTTGGATCCCTAACCTCAAAGGGTTCAAACCAATTCTTGACAATCCAAACACGCAGGAGTTGACTTGGATGAGTAAGCTCTTGGATGACTCGGGTAGGAATTGGAATGTAGAACTAGTTCAGAACTGCTTCCCCATTGCTGAAAGTAAGGCTATCCTGAGCATCAAGAACAGGGACCCAAGCTGCTCAGACCTGGTTGTTTGGGACCAAAAAAGTCAATGTAAAATTCTTAGTGGCTGCTGTTTATGAGCTGTTAGTGGAAGAAAAATTGGCTAAAGTGGACATTCCTGATAGTAGTAATCTGACTGTTGAGATTTTGAAAACTAGAAGGAAAATCTGGGATCTCAAAATAGTTGGTAAAGCAAAGCATTTCATTTGGAAGTGCTTCTTTAATATCCTGCCAGCCTCTCTTAAACTCCTGAAGAAGATGATAATCGTTGACCCTATCTGCAAATCTTGTGGAGAAGATTCAGAATCCATTGAGCATTTATTCTTCCATTATTGCAGAGCAAAAAGAGTTTGGGACCTAGCTTTTATCTCATGGGATGGACTGGCCAATGATATTTCTTCTTTCAAAACTTGGTGGATAAAGATCTGCAGCGTCAAGAAATCATCTTCCTCTGACCACAAAATTCAACTAACTGCTTACCTGCTGTGGTGGATTTGAAAGGCCAGAAACTTATGGGTTTTTCAAAACTTTTGGCTATCAGAATGAGTATGTACAGTCTGCCACCTCTGCTTGGATAGAGTTCTCAGCTTGTTCTTCTGCTTAGTGCTGGTGTCTTGCTGGTTGTTGCCCTTCTTGGCTGTTTTCTTTTCTTGTTTGGTTTTGTTATTGCTCTTGCTAGCTGGATTTGGCAGTCTCTTTGTTTAGTGGTGTATCTGCTAGTGCTAGGGACTTGTCTAGTGGTAGGTTATCCTTTGTGCTTTGTGTAGTTTTTGTTCTTCCTGCACAACTGTAGTAGATTTCTAATGTCGGATCCTAGCTTGGTCTTGCTGGTGTGATGGCTTCTTCTTCAGTTTAGGTTTGTTTTCCTTAGGTCACTATTGTTAGCGCCCCTCGTGCTTTGCCTTCTTGGCAGTTTGGTGTCTTGTACTGAACTCGGTCTCTATTAATTTTGTAACAGTCTATCGTTTCGTAAAAAAAATAATAATAATTAATTTCACTCAATGATAGTTTTTGGAAATGAGTTATGTAATTATACAATTTTGCTATGGAGCCATCGAATGGCTCGACTTATGGAGTCATCCGCACTTATTCACCAATAGTGTATTGACACGTGTTTTGTACTAAATACAATTTGAACAAGTGTCAATACATTAAGTGGTGAATGACTACATAAAAAAACCATCCGATGACCATAGAATTTTTGCGTAATTATATAGTTGGAAGGTAATTTGACAGTAGCTGCTACTCTCTCTACCTGATATAAAACTAGAAACAAGAATAGTTCAAGGTCACACAAAAAACTTGAACAGTTACTCCTTCTTGCTGCTATATTTACTTGAATTTGAAAAAAAAAAAAAAATCCTCGAGTCCTCTTTATGGACTACCGTGGACGGCTTTACTTGCTAGTCGGTGGGTAGCAGCTCAATTTCCTAGCATCATCTTGGAAAGTCAGCCTATAATGGTAATCAAGTCCCTCATACTCTTTATTTCCTCTTTAGACACATCTATAGCCTTGCTGCTAATGATTGTGGGGAGAAAAATGAACTATTTCAGAGTCGTTGGGAACAAACCCATGTCGGTTTTCCGACCCTGACCTCAGAAGCAATTTGCCTTCATTGTTGACTTTTCATTTTTATGGTCTTCGTGCGGATGCGGATATAGAAAGGGAAAACTAGAAACCCTTATGACAAATTTTGTCTTTGTCCGCTGTTCTGTTCAAGACTATAATATATTCAATCTTATGTGGATTCAAACAGTCCCTGTTTTTCTTTCTTCTTTTTTCTTTCTTAAAAAAAAAAAATGAGTTGGGGTTGCTGTGAAGTCATAGGACAATTGTGAATCCTGAATTATTCATTTGATTGGCCGTTAAAGCTTCCAGCTTTTTTGGGGTTTCCTTTTAAATCATGAACACACGGCCATTTGGGTTCTACACATAGATGTTGACTGGCAAATGAGAGGCTCAGAAAACTTTTTCAAGTGCAGCTGATAGAAAATGTCCAGAATTCAATCGAGCTTCCCTAACCGATTCATGAAATAAAAAAAAAAATGGTAATGGATGTCTTATCCGATTCTCCCCTGGACCCACTTCTCGAGCTCATTTCCCAAACAATCGAGGCTATCATCGAGCTAGCCCTGTCTTCAAAAAACGTCCTTGTCGACAAGAAGAGCTTTGCCGAGCTCTCGTCTTACCTCGAACGTCTCGTCCCTCTCTTGCGTGAGCTCCACACCGGAAACACAACCTCTTCAGAAGGACTAACAAACTTCATCGAAATTTTAAGCCGCGAGACCAACGAGGCCAAGAAACTAATCGCCGACTGCAGCCAAAGGAACAAATTCTACCTGTTCGTGAACTGCCGCTCGATCGCCAAGCAAATCAATCGCATAACTAAAGAAATTGGCCGCGCACTAAGCTGCCTCCCTCTCGCCTCCCTAAACGTATCACTCTCGATCAAGGAAGATATCGACGAGCTCGTCAATAGAATGGAGAACGCCGAATTCGAAGCCGCCATGGAAAAAGAAGCCATACTCGACAAAATTGAGCTTGGAATAAATGAGAGGAACATGGACCGTACGTACGCGAATAACTTACTCGTCTCGATCGCGAAAGCAGTCGGGGTCCCGACCGACCGCACGGCGCTAAAGAAGGAATTCGAGGAGTTCAAGACCGAAATCGAGAACCTTTGGTCGAGAAAGGACAAGGCAGAGGCCATTCAGATGGACCAAATCATCGGTTTGCTCGAGCGGGCAGACGTGACATTGTCCTTAGAGGATCGTCAGAAGAAATATCTTACAAAGAGAAAGTCGCTGGGAATGCGGCCTCTGGAGCCTCTCACGTCTTTCTACTGTCCAATCACCAAGGAAGTGATGAAGGACCCTGTGGAGAGCCCGTCAGGCCAAACTTTCGAGCGGGCAGCCATTGAGAGGTGGCTGAGAGAGGGGAATGGGTCGTTTTGTCCGCTGACGGGGACACCGCTCGACGTGACGAAACTGAGGCCGAACAAGACTCTTAGGCAGTCGATTGAGGAGTGGAGGGAGAGGAACACGATGATTTTTATTGGCTCGTTGGGGTCTAAGATGGAGTCTTTGGAGGATGAGGAGGTGGTGAGGGCCCTGGACCAGGTGAAGGATCTGTGTGAGGAGAGGGAGGTGCATAAGGAGTGGTTTGTTTTGGAGAATTATATACCGAAGCTTGTTGAGCTTCTTCGGAATAAGAATCGGGAGGTTAGGAGTCGGGCTCTTTCGGTGCTTTGCTTGCTGGCGAAGGGCAGTGATGATGCCAAGGTGCGTTTTTTTTTTTGTTATGTTAGATAGGCCTTTGGCTTTTCGATCGTAATATTTTCGAAGATTGGGCTCTTTCTGGCGAATTCTCCCAATTCTGAGTTCCATTGCCACTTCTTTTTCTGTTAGAAATGGCAGGAAAATGCGCGTGCGTGTGTTCTCCAAAGCATGGCTTGTTTCATTTTTCTGAAATGCGTTTTGCTAATTTCCATATTGACACTATTAATTTACTATTTTTTTTTTNCATGGTTGCGTTTTGCAGGAAAGAATTGCCAACATCGAGGATTCGGTCAAGCCAATTGTTGAGTTTCTCGGGCGTCGATTTAGGGAAAGGAAGTTAGCGGTGACATTACTATTGGAGCTCTCGAAATGTGAAAATATGCGTGAACGCATAGGGAAGGCAAAGGGCTGTGTACTTCTTTTGGTGACCATGTTAAGCAACACAGACCCACAGGCTGCCAGTGATGCAAAGAGTGTCTTGGACAATCTCTCGTACTCGGATGACAATGTTATCCTCATGGCAAAAAGTAATTATTTTCAGTATCTTCTAGAACGTCTCTCTTCAGGTAACTTCTTTGGTCTTCTTTCTTCTGGGATTATTTGAACGAACTACTGTTTTCTCTCAAGTGATTTGATTTTGGCTTTTAGCAAAAGGTGGTTGAGACTCCAAACTGAGATGATTTTAGAAGTTCTTTGGTAGGTTAGATGTAGAAGTGCTTGTTAGTATCAAAGAGTCAGAAATCTAATGTTTCCATTTTATATGATTTAAAATGATATGTTTTTCTTCTAGACAACTGTGATAAAACAGATATAAAGACTAAAAAGTTGGCATTTGAAAACACAAAAACTATTTGTTCCTTTTCCTTTGTTGAAAGCTGAAAAATCATATTTTTCCTTTTTAGCTGCTACATCTTGTTCACAATAATGTCAATTCTTGGCAGGTCCCGATCACGTTAAGATGAGGATGGCAAGAACCTTGGGCGAGATGGAATTAACTGACCATAATAAATCATCCTTAGTTGAAAATGGCGTGTTGGATTTACTTCTCATTTTGCTCTCCCATGATAACGTTGATATGAAAATCGTAGCCGTTGAAGCTCTTCTCAATCTCTCTAGCTTGAAACCAAATGGTCAAGAAATAATCAAGAAAGGCGCAGTCCGCCCATTGCTGGACATTCTGTATCGCCAAACATCATCACAGAGACTTCGTGAGCTGATAGCTTCTACCATCGTTCATCTTGCTCAGTCGACTGTACCGGAAGCCCCTGATTCGATGCCAGCTGTCATGCTTGAATCGGATGACGATATCTCGGAACTATTTTCCTTCATTAATCTCGTGGGCCCCAACCTGCAGCAATACATTCTCCGAGCTTTTCATGCCATGTGTCAAGGTCCGTCCACTTACGTCAAGTCGAAAATAATAGAGGTAACCTTTTCGTACTGAGTAATAACTTGTGCTTCTTTTTATCTTACTGGCCTAAATGATGATTTTAAATTCACAGTGCTCAGCGGTGCAAATGTTATTCCATTTATGTGAGTCGGATGACATCATCCTACGCGCAAACGCCATCAAGCTCTTATGTACCATAACCGAAGAAAACTGTGATGGGTCCACAATAACCGACCACATAACCCAGGTATCAGTCGAGACCTTGCTGAAAATTATCAAGGCCTCGCAAGACGAGCACGAGATCTCGTCCGCGCTCGGCATAATCTCGAACCTTCCGAAAACGCCCCAAATAACCGAGTGGCTATCCGAGTCCGCGAATCTCCCCTCTCTCCTCAACCTATTCCACGACTACAAAAACAGCATTCACCAGAAGCACCACCACCTGATCGAGAACGCGGTCGGGGCCGTCTCACGTCTAACCGTTGAGACGTGCCCGGGACTACAGAAGAAAGTCGCCGAGGCAGGAATCATACCCCTTTTGGTAAACTCGCTCGAAATCGGGACCGACCTGACGGTCAGACGAGCCGCAATATCTCTAGGGCAGCTTTCTAGAAGCTCCCCCAGGCTGACGAGGCAGATCCCGAGACGCAACTCTTTCTGGTGCTTCTCAGGCCTGCCTTACTCGGCCTGTCCAGTGCACTTGGGCCTCTGCACAGTCGAGACCTCGTTTTGCCTGGTGGAGGCTTGTGCGGTGGAGCCCCTTGCAAGGGCTCTTAAGAAGCAGGATCACGGAGCATGCGAGGCTGCCCTGGATGCTCTGCTCACTCTGATTAGTGATGAGCTGTTGCAGAATGGGTGCAAGGTGCTGGCGGAGGCGAATGTTATTCGGGATATGATTAAGTTGATTGGTAGTGATTGTGTTGGACTGCAGGAAAAGGTGTTGGGGGCTCTGGAGAGGGTATTCCGGGTGTTGGAGTACAAGCAGATGTACGGGGGCTTGGCGCAGCATCCGTTGGTGGATTTGACTCAGAGGGGGAATAGCAGGTTGAAGTCTTTGGCGGCAAGGATACTTGCGCAGTTGAATGTGCTTCACGACCAGTCTTCTTATTTCTGAATGGGAAACAAGCTCGACTTCACCACGTTTCACGTGTAAATAGGATGGGTGATTCTTATTCATGCCTGTTGATTTTTAGTTCTTGCATTCTTTTGCTTCATGGAAGATGTCTGGTTGGTGAGTGGCGGCAGAGACAGGTTTTGCTATAGATTATTGTGAAATTCTTTAGTGGTTGATACTTGTTTAACTGTTTTAGTATTGTTATAGTGTTGTGATTGGAAAGAAATTGTCAAACTTTGTTGTACATGTAAATTTGACGATTGTTTGCCATTCCATCAATTGACACTTCGATTTCGATAGGCCTACTTTCAAACGACCCAATGGAACAAGCATGCATATAAATGAAACTATCTTTGAAAGTTCAAATAAATCTTGCATCTCATAGACAAACATTACCATTTAAGAGGCCTTATATATTTATATGTATGTATATATGTATAGAGAGAGGAAATATCAAATGAGAATGAGTCTTTACATGAGAAATAAAAACTGATCATAGCGGTTGGAGGTGATATATCAACATTCTAAGGCTGGTCAAATGGGCAGTGACATTGATGTAATTGTGGGCACTTTATGGTTTTTCGTGCAGTGACATTTCTGTTATTTTTGCGCAATATGTTGTTAGCTAATGTGTATTTTCATACATATTTTATATGCATTTTAATCTAATGTGCATTTCTCTAACACTATTGTACATTTCCGTAGCGCAGTGGCGATTCGATAATTTTGTGAACTTATTTTAAATTTGTGAACATTAACTATTTAGGTGATGACAATTTTATAATTTTGTATAAATATGACAGTAGTGCATATACAACAACATACCCAGTATATTCCCAACTGGTTGCGGTCTGGGAGGTCAGTTGTACGCAGACCTTACCCTTGTAATTATACAAGGAGGCTGTTTCCGTAGCGACCCAAGGTGCATTGCGCCGTTTGATATATATATATATATATTTTTCTAGAAACTTCACTAATAGAAGAAGCACTAGAATTTAATTGAGCCATTTTGATCTAGTCCATTATTAGCACTATGCCAGGAGAATTGTCAACAATGACTCTTCCAGCTCCATTTGCAATGGAAAAATAGTAGTGCATATCTACACACAATATTGTTCATATATTATTTTTTTAATAATTTTCGTATAAATATGACGATATTTTTAATGTGCATATCTACACACAATATTGTTCAATCTACTTATATATATTGTGAATTTATTAATTCTTCTTATAAATTATAAATTTGACCCATGGATTAAATTGCAATATAGTTACAACTTCAAATATTGCAGATAAGTCCCTAGGACTTATCAAGAAAAAGTTGGCTTTTCAACAAGGAGTGGGTGAAAGAGAAGGATTTGGTGGATGTAGTTACAGAGGAATGGTTATAGAAGGGTGTTTGGCTTTGGCTGGGGTAAATAACCTTTGCATCTGGGAGAGAGCTTTTCCAAGGGGATAGGGCATCATTTCTCAGCTGTAAGTGTCTCAATCTCTTCTGATGGCAAGGTAAGGATGGCTGGTACTGAAACAAAGGGAACTGAAATTTTTCAAGAATGGATGCAGTTGGGGATTCCATTAGAGATTCAGCGGAGACTCTTCTTGTGGCTATTAGATGGATGTTAGAGTCCAGTTGGGGTGGAACAGGTTCTGCTGCTGTTTGAAGAATCAAGATATTTTCAGCGAACTTACTAATAAAAGTGTTTTCAAATGTGTTATTAGTATTATTGTTGAGGATATTTACCGCCTCTTGAGTCTTTTTTATTCCTGTTATTTTGCGTTAGACCGTAAAGCTTGTATAGCTAGTGATTTGGTAGCCAAAAGGGCTGTTGTATGTTTGTGTTAAATCGTGCAGTGACTTTTGTTTAGAAGTGTGTTTTCTTTATCCTGGTACCAATGCTAAATCTTGGGGGGGTTTTTGTCTATTTGAGTACTGATAAGTCTGTTAGGAAAAGCCAATGGTAAACTTTAATCAGACACAGCATGCTTTGGGGGGATTGCTGGTTTTTTTTTGGGGGGGAGGGGGGGATTTTAATGATCTTTTGTTCCATTCTGAAAAAAAAGGGGGTAAAAAGAGAGAGGACATCAGCTTTTTAGGGTTTAGAAACTTTGTCAGCCTTATGGGCATGAAAGATGGGAGCTTCCAAGGGTATCCCTTTACTTGGGCAAACAATAGGCAGGGGGAAGGGTTTGTGGAAGAGAGGTTAGATAGGATATTTTTCTCACCTGGTTGGCTCTTAACCTTCCCCATGTCTAGTGTTAGGCATATTCATTTAATATCCTTGGACCATTGTTTACTAATGATGCAAACAGATCCCAGCAAGAATAAAGGAAAAAAAAGATTTACCTATGATGCAAGGTGGCAAACCAAAGTGGGCTACAAAGAGGTTATTGATACAATCTGGAAGGATCAGGAGAGACCTAAGGATTTGGTGGACATTCAGAATAAGCTCAGAGACACAAGATTAGCTCTTCTGGAATAGAAATCAAAAATGCAAAACAACTCAGCAAAGCAAATTGAAATTTGTAAGGCAAAGCTGCAAGACATGATTCTCCTTGGCAAGGATAGGGATTGGAGTGAATGGGAAAGATGCAAAGCTCAACTTCACGAAGCCTATCTGGAAGAGGAGATGTACTGGCAAAGCAAATCCAGAATCCTTTGGTTGAAAGCTGGAGACAAAAACACAAGGTATTTCCATGCCTGTGTCACTCAAAAAAGAAGAGCAAATGGTATTGAACTACTCACTAGAAGTGATGGCTCCAAATGTATCAGTGAGGAGGAAAATCTGGATGAGATTCTAAACTTCTACAGGAACATCTTCCAATCTCAGAGGCCAAATATAAACAGCTGCAGCCTAGAGGGCATTTACAGAGTGATTGGAGATCAACAAAATCAAACCCTTACCCAACCTGTCAAGGATGAAGAGATGAAGGTAGCATTAATGGAAATGCACCCCCAAAAGGCCCCAGGTATAGATGGCTTCACCCCACTATTTTTTCAATCCCACTGGGACATTTTTCAGGCTGATATTGGTATAGCTATTAGGAATTTTTTCAGTAATTGTTTTATGCATATCCAGCTAAATCATACTATTATCTCTCTTATCTCAAAAATTAAAAATCCCCAAAAAATCTCAGACTTCCGGCCCATTAGCCTTTGTAATGTCATTTATAGATCAATCTCAAAAATTTTGGCCAATAGAATCAAATCTGTCCTTCACCTGTGCATTTCCCAGAACCAGGCAGCCTTTGTGCCTGGGAGACAAATACTTGATAATGTGATATTGGCAAATGAATATGTTCATTACCTCAACAGCAAAAGAAAAGGTAAGGATGGGTTAATGGCCATTAAGTTAGATATGGCCAAGGCTTTTGACCGGGTTGAGTGGGCCTTTCTTGTTTTGATCCTTAGGAAAATGGGGTTTTGTCATTCCTTCATTAACTGGATTTCTGCTTGCATTAATTCTTCTTCTTTCTCTTTTAAAATCAATGGTCAGCCCCAAGGTTTTATTAAACCCTCTAGAGGATTAAGGCAGGGGGACCCTTTATCCCCCTACCTCTTTATCATTATCTCAGAGGCTTTATCAAACCTGATCAATCATGCTACTGTCCACCACTACTTTCATGGTTTCAGAATTGGAAAACATGCTCCAGTGATCACTCATTTGTTTTTTGCAGACGACTCCATTGTTTTTTGTAAAGCCTCTGCCCAAAATGCTTTCACCCTTTTGAATATGCTTCACAATTATGGTCAGGCCTCTGGACAAAAAGTAAACATTGAGAAATCCTCCATTATGTTCTCAATAAACACCTCTGAGGAGACTAGGGCCCAAATTTCTCAATTCATGCAAGGAATTCAAGTTGTTAAATCCTCAAAATATCTTGGTTTGCCATTAGGGATAGGAAGATCTAAAAAAGCTACATTCCAATATGTTGTTGACTGTGTTCAAACTAGAATTTCAAGCTGGAAAAACACCTTCTTGAATGAAGCAGGAAAACTCATCCTCATTAATGCTGTTCTTAGTGCTTTGCCTCTGTATGTAATGTCATGTTTTAAATTACCCCTGTGTGTTTGTAAGGACATTTGCAGAAGCATAGCAGATTTATGGTGGGGTACAACTGGTGAGGGTAAAAACAGAATCCATTGGGAAAACTGGGACAAGATAACTAGACCTAAGGAAAGGGGTGGGCTAGGAATTAGGAATTTAGAGGTCTTTAATAGTGCTTTGGTAGGGAAACAAATATGGAGAATCATTACTTGCCCAAACCTTCTGATGAGTAGAGTTCTTAGAGGGAGGTACTTTTATAATCAAAGCCTGTGGGCAGTCAAATCAAAGCCTTCTGATTCCTGGCTATGGAAATCTTGGTTGAGTGTAAGGGATAGCATGAGAGAGGGTATTGAGCTTCAAGAAAGTGTGTCTCATATGGGTAGAGATAGGTTAGTGTGGAAGTTTAATAAAAATGGTATCTTTACTGTCAAATCAATGTACTCTGCTCTGCAGCTTAAGCAGGAAATAGCAAGGATGCAGCCAGAAACTAGTAATAATGGGCTCATACAAACTAAGCTGTGGAAACATACATGGAACCTAAAGATAAAGACAAAGATCAAGATTTTTATATGGAGATGCTACCATGGGTATGTAGGCACTCAGGACAGGTTGAGGAAAAAAGGAATGAAGTTGGATCCTATCTGCAGCATATGTAGTGAAGAGGAAGAAACAATTGAACACATTTTCTTCTCTTGTCAGAGAGCTCTCAGAATATGGAGGATAGCTGGTGTGTCTTGGAATGGATTACAATAATCAGAGAACAACTTCAAAGAGTGGTGGCAGGACATAACTTTGATGAAGAACTTCTTTGGAGCCAAAGACAGAATAACACTAACTACATATGTTTTGTGGTGGCTCTGGAAAACCCGAAACAGTTGGGTTTTCAGAAAAGAGTGGATATCAGAGATGGAAACAGCAAAAGGTGCTAAATTGGAGTGCTCTGAATTTACTCTTCATCTGGATTAGTAGGTGTAGTTTTTTTCTTTTTTCTTTGTTGGGGGTATGGGGATGACTGTTTTGCGGGAATAATGGAATGTAGGTCAACCATGATGTTGTCAGTGCAACCTCCATTGTTCCCATTTTTCTCACTTTGTTTGTTGCTGTTTGGACCAGTTAGGAAGGTTTCTGTAGGTTTCTAGTTATGTTTATGTTCTAGTTTTTCTCTTTTTCTTTGTTTCTAGGGGTTGGGGTGGGTTTCCTTTTTAGTTTTGCTTATGTTACTAGGTCAGAGATAAGCCTGATGGTTATGGCTATGCTCGCTCATCCTTTTACTGTCTTATTCTGATTTGGAGTCAGCTGTAAAAGGTCAACCACTTGGTTGGTCGGTCCTGTACAAAAACCTTTTGAGATTTAATGAAGTTGTTATCGTTTTGAAAAAAAAAAAATGTTTGTGTTAAATCGTCAAACTTGTATAGCTAGTGATATGTTAGCCAAAAGAGTTGTTGTAGGTGAATGAGTCTCTTATTCCACGGTTTCGATCCTCTCCACCGTGGTTCGATAGAGGGGACTGTTGTTGTAACTATTTAGTTGTGTACTCTCTTTGAGATTATAAAAGTTTTTATATTGCAATTTGAAAAAATAAAAAAAGAATCTTGATCACTAGCACGCAAGTGATGATTTAAAGTATGGCAACAATTATTCAAGTTAGTAAAAATCAAAGAAAAAAAAGTCATGTTCCACAGGAAGCAAAGCATATCTTTCTCATCATGTCAACATGTCCTGAATTGCAAACAAGACTTTCCTTGGATACCCTATCAAGAATTTTTTCATATTTTTTCCTGAATGACTAAAGATTAGGTCTTTTTATAACTACTATTATTATTAAAGAANCCCAATGATTATTGATTACCGCAACAACAAAAAGAAAAGCAGCAGTCGCCGGAAAAGCCCAAACATGCATTACCAGTATATACCCAAATTCCGCAATAAATGCTGAGAGCAAAACAGTTGGTAAAACCAATCAAATTTGTCCACGCTCAAATCACATAACTCTGATTTGCTTTCTACTCTCGGGCTTGAATGCGGTTGACTCTGTCCTTTTGCTCATAATCAATTTATTTCTTAGATTTTGCAGCATTCTTCTTCTTTTAATTTAGTCCAGAAATTTGAAGAAAAAAAGAAATGGGTTTGCTCACAAACAGAGTGGAGAAGAGTGAGATTAAGCCAGGGGATCATATCTATACTTACAGAGCAGTCTTTGCATACTCTCATCATGGTTATTAATTTCTGTTTGCTTTATCTTTTCCTATTTTTTTCTTTCTCTTTTCTGTTGTTTTTGTTAGTTATGCCTGTAAATCTGTAGACAGAAGACGGCCCATGGTTTAGGTTTATTAGCATTTACTCGATCCCCAATGTGTTTTTATCGCCTTATTGTATCTGCAAACTGGATGGATACAAGTTATTGCCTTGAAATTTTCGCTTGATTTAGATTTGTAATTTGGGATAAAATCTGATCTTGGTTTACTGGGAATCTGGGGTTCTCCTTTTCCGTTTCCGCAATTTGCATGTAAATTGGCGTCTGCATATATGCCCAATGAGTGGTAGCTTTCTTTTTCTTTATAATTTGTTCATTCGATAATTTGCGATTTTTATAATATTGATGAAAATTCTCGCTTCTTACTGTTCGGTGTGTGACTTGGGTGTACTGCATTTTCAATAGCTGCTACATATCCCGTAATGTTGAAGAGGGCTTTTAGTTTTTGCCTTAAGTCAGGTGGTATGAAAGATGTGATTCAGCAAACCACATTCTTGTTGATGACAGGAAAAATAATTCACAAATACTATATTTTTTCCTACAAGCATTAAGAGGTGACATAAGCCCTTGCTGGTGAACATTTTTTTGGGCATAATTTGAGGAAGACTTTCCTGAAAATAGGACCTACATTTGAGCTGCCTTTTATTTCGACTAATTCTATCACATTCATCCGCTTTGTCCGAGAGATCAATTCTGTTAGGTAGTAACAGAAAGTTAGATTACACAACTCTAAGAGATGAGACAAAATTTGTTATAATTGGGATCCATATATATTGTCAGTTATGAGGTGAATACACTTTCCTCCTTAGGCCTTACCGAGACAACACCAACTCCAAATACATGATTTTGCAAGTCTTATAGATTTCACCCAAAACCAGAGCATTGTATTTACAATCACAACGCATTTCTTCAAATCTGTGATTTCCACACATTCTGCAGGCATCTTTGTGGGGTCGAACAAGGTGGTCCACTTCACCCGAGTCGACACCTCATCATCCTCCTCCGAGCCCCACGAGCCCAACAACACACAATGCCCGACCTCGTCCCCAGACTGCGGCTTCAGACGGCCCCACAGCGGGGTCGTTCTCTCCTGTCTCGACTGCTTCCTCAAAGGCGGGTCCCTCTACGCCTTCGAGTACGGTGCAACTCCCTCGGCATTCCTCGCCAAAATCCGTGGGGGCACGTGCACCACCGCGCCCTCTGACGCGCCGGGTCCCACCGTCCACCGAGCCATGTATCTGCTGAGCAATGGGTTTGGGAATTACGACGTGTTCCTCAACAACTGCGAGGATTTCGCGCTCTACTGCAAGACGGGCCTGCTGACGGTGGATAGGGCTGGGGTCGGGAGGAGCGGGCAGGCCTCGTCAGTGATCGGTGCCCCGCTGGCAGCCCTGATCTCGTCCCCACTGAAGCTGCTGATGCCGGGCCCACTTGGGGTGGCGGCAGCGACAGCTGGGGTTTACTGCGCCAGCCGTTACGCGACGGATATTGGGGTGCGGACAGATGTGGTGAAGGTGGCGGTGGAGGACTTGGCTGTGAATCTCGGGTGGGGAGATGATGGGTTGATCACGGTGGATTAGGTAAGTGAAAGCGTAATTTGGAAATCTGTGTGTGTGGTTAGGTTAGTTTGAATGTGTGTTGGTTGGGAATATGATGATTTGTATGCTTGTGGATGTCTTGAGTTTGTTCTCTTTGTTAGTCGGTAGTTCAGCTGAGAATTGCTGCTTGTAGTGTTTGTTTGATGGGTTAACTGTGAAAATGCTTTATGCGCACAAATCGAACCCACATTAATGAGACGGTTTGAGAATTAGAAGGGAAGCTCATATTTGCAAATACCAAAATTTGTTTGTTTGTTTGTTTAGTGCTAAAATGGCATCAACACTCTCTTCGAGTGTGCATTCAAACACTCCAAACTCGCATGCGCACAGACACGCATAAGGGGACATGTGTGATTTGTTATGAGTCATAATAGTTGCCTCTTAAGCAGGCTTTTCTGTACAGATCACATCCTTTCTACCCTAAACATAAGAAAACTACTCAGGAGATTTATAGAATGAATTTTGCAATGTGATACATCACCACTTTCATTTCCTGTACAGTAGTATCCAAATTAAAAATACAGTACCTGTGAAACAAGACACTGTTTTTCTTTTCCTTTTTATATATTTTTTTGTCTTACTTAACTCAGACCTTCTGTAATCTTCTTCTGTCTCCCAACACCTTTTCAGCTCTTCACCACTATCGACTTTAGACTCGAGTTTGTCCGTAAGTACATTAACCTCCACAATTTACTCGACACTTGCCACAACATCTACCAATAAGGATGTTACTGTGACCAACGGTACAATATCCAGCAGTGTGAGATTTCCCTCCACCGTAGTATCATTTTTTACCTAATTTAAAATTTTATTTGATTTTAAAAATATAAATTAATTAATATGGTTATAAATTAATCATTTCAAGTATAATTATTTTCAAATTAAAAAATATATAAAGTTTAAAAAGTTTCCAGAAACTCCCAGATTAAGAACTTTTATTAATTAAATTTTTTCTCTTATTAAGTTTTCATATTGTTGTGTGATTTTTTTTATTAAGTATTAATGTCATTTCATGTCATAAACTTAATAATATTTTGGTATATTTATTACCCATTTTTTATACATATAAGATTAAATTGGTCTTGATTCTCTGATCTTCTATTTGACGCTCATATTGTATGTGTACCTAAAAAATTAAAAGAATTAGTCTAAATTCAATCATGCAATGAAATATATATATATATAGAGAGAGAGAGAGTTAGGATCATGTGAGAATGGTGCTCAGTGAAAGAAATAAGAATAAATCTAGATCATTGGATACATCATATCAATGGTTAGGATTAAGTCAAAATCTAGTCAATCATTAATGGCAACATGGTAATTTAACATACTTATTGTGGTCAAATATACATATTTGTCCATTTAGTAAGGGTAAAATGGACAATACACAAAATATGACAACTCATCCATCCAGTGGGCCCCACCAACTCCACAATTAAATCTGAATTGACGTCAATTTCAAAAAAAAAGCAAAAAGAAAAAAGAAAAATTTGAATTTGTCGTCCCGTCGCTTTGGTTCTCACCACCGGAATTGCAGCCCGCCATCACCTACTTCCACCCGCGGCCCCGCCTCCGTCAGCTCGCTGCCCTCCACCGCGCATCAGCCGACCGGACATGAGATGACTGCCGTCCACTGATGCATCCTCTCCATTGCAGCGCCACCACCCACCGATAGGACTCCGATGAGATGACATTGTCCCGACGCCGACAACATCCACTCCGCCGTCATCGACCGAGGCATAGAAAACCTCCGCCATATTCTGGCCTTCATCAACTGCAGCCCGTCGCCGGTATCGCACAGATCCAAACAAACGCACACTCAACTTCAGTCGATGTCACATCCACTGCCATTCCCATCACAGGCTGCACCACCCGATGGCTATGAGAGGAGGAGTCAAACAGTGGAACAATGTCGTTGAGTGCGGCGACGACGGATTCTGATAATTACAGTATATGGTTGGAGCAGATGCCGAATCACGGCGGGTGGAACGACTAACGAGGTCGACGAAGGAGTCAACGGGCACGGCGATCTGACCGAACGTGGTCGGCGGCGGGAGAGATGGACGGAACTGGACAGGAGACGGCGGCGTGGATATGGAATAAAAGATTGGGATGTTTTTATTTGTTTTTGAAAATTTGATATTCCTCAAGGACCTAGTTGCAATTATATATAGTTCACTAAATTTCAATTTAATAAATGAGACAATTTTGTAAGTTAATTAATGTTAAATGCATGCACATTAGTGGTATATCAAATGCACATTATACATGAGATCAAGCACATTAAAAACACTCATTATAATTTACGAAATTACATAGAGTTGTTCATTAGTCGGTTTAATTTGTTCATCAATTTATCCAAATTTCCAAGATGCCACTGCGCCACTTCGTGTTTGTAAATATTCGAACCGATTTTTTTTTTTAGATTGGTTGGTTTCAGTACATATTGTGCAACCCGCTTATCATTAATGTGCAATTCGTCTTATAATATTAGGCACTCATAGCGCGCATATTTTTAATGTGGTGTCCGAAATATAAAATACAAGCGAACCACAATAATCGGTTCATTTCGATCGGTTAACACGTTTATTTTAAATAGATAATTTTTTATTTATATTATATATAAAAAAATGTATTTAGTGTTTTTATATAATATTTTATATTATTTTTGGTTGATAATACATAATATATTAAAATACATTACTGCTATTTATGTTTGGCATATTATAATTCAATGAAGATTAATTTATGCACAATAATGACACATTAGATGCACAATATTGTGTGTATGTGTGCACTTTAAAAAATAATGTTATATGTGTATATGAAATTACTAAAACATTGATAAATACCATACTTTTTTTAAACGAATTGCATAATATCAAGTATGTATGTGTATCTATCTCTCTCTCTCTCTCTCTCTCTCTCTATATATATATATATATTATATATATATATATATGTGCATTTTAAAAGTAAAAAATAAATAATCAAAATGAAATATAAAAATATGAACTTAAAATTTAGACATAATCGGAGTAATTTGTCTGTCAACATAAGTAACCAAAATATTCAACATAAATTATATTATTTTTTTATAAAATATATGATTAGTATTTAATATGTTTTTATTTGGTATTTTATATTATTTTTTTCTTAAAAAATTAGTATGTATGTAAATAAATATTATGTGCAATCTAACAGTTATTAAGGTGCAATTTGTTCAACACCATGGTACAGGGTGTCGTTTTGATTAAAAAAATTAATATGTATGTAAATGAACCACTATGTGCAATCTAACTGTTATTAAGGTGCAATTTGTTCAACACTATTGTGCATAGTGTCGATCTGTATTGTGCGTATTGAAGCAAACGATTTTTTTTCCCTTAAAACAAATTAGAAATGAACATAATTAATTGTTTTTTCAGTTTGGTTAATCGAATTATCTTAAATAATTAAAATATTTTATTTATTTATATTAATATTGTATTTAATATGTTAATAATTAAATTTATCTTTTTATATATATATATATATATATTTTAGCTTGGTATGTTTTGTTCGATACGGTGCAATTTGTCGATCATTAATGTACATTTCATATACAACTATTGTGCTATCACATGACATTTATATTTAATATGATTGAATACAATATATTGTGCATGTTTTTCAATTAATAGTTATTTATTAAACTTTCAATAATTTATAGATTTTCCACATGTATCAAATTGAAATATAACAAAAAATCATTAAATTGCAATCAAGTCCTTTAACCTTATCTAATTCTAAAAAAAAAAAGGCCTTAATCCCCAAATGTCATCTTCTACCCTACTACCCGTCTGCTCCGACAGCCACTCCGGCCAATGACTTTCGATGTCGATGCATACTCCGGCCGGTGACATCCGGCAAGTTTCAACTTTTTTTTTTTAAGCCGCCATTGAAGCTCCATAGTGCGGCGGCACCCAAGCCGTCGGACAGACACGATGCCGGCGAGAGTCGAGGAGGTGGTGAGTCGCGAGTGACGGATGATAGCGCGATTGACGGAGAACGGTAAGGGCGACGGGGGACGGCGCGGTCGCCGGCGACTGGAGACGGCGCAGGCGACGGTGATGGTGCAGGCGACGGTCGACGGAGCACAGCCGATCGTCACCGGAGAGATATTCTAGGCGGAGGTCAGCTGGTGGAGGTGACTATGCTCCGGCAGCGGTCTGCGGCCGACCACAAGTAGTTCAGAAGTTCGTGTGGATCAAGGTGAAGGATGTACAACAAAAGATCTGAATGTGATCAAGAATTGATTCGTTCGTGTGGTCTAGTTAATTGGTAGAATCCTCTCATAGTCGGCAATAACAAAAAAGTAAGATTTTTATCCTAAATTTTAGAATTCACTATGCTTAGAATGACTTTCTGAGCTATTCAATTAACGAAGACTTAACTGACGTTATTCGCCAAACACAACATACCTGTTAAATAGATCAACCGTCAACCCACTTTCTCCTATAAAATTGTGTGAAATAAATTCATTCAATTATTTAACAATTGATTTATAATGTCATTTCTTATGTTATATAATCAAATGGAATGTTGAAATATGCTTATAAACTAGTCTAAAGTACAGGTTTTGCTTTCTAAATATTAAAGGATCATTTATCTCAACCTAAACGTATAATATTACTTTTTATAGTTACAAATTACAAATTTCATTTAATTTTAAAAATTACTTCTAAATTCAAACATTAGAAAAGATATCATGTAATGCCAGTGTCATTTTAAATATGCTAGAGTTCCCTACTTATAAAAATATCAAAAAAGAGAGAAAAAAAATGATTTAAATAATATATATATATATAATATTAATAGCAATTACATTGTCAAGTATTATAGGAAAATAAAATGAGCTTTCATATCGAGTCAACCCAAAAGGAGACCAAGTAGTTTAAAATCTTCGACCAACTTTGATCAAACGAGCTTTGCAAGTGAAACACGAATGATACAGATTTTAAAATTATTCTTATCGATAATCTTACTGTTGTCAGTATTTTTATCGGAGTATAATCGAAAGATTCGTTCCCCGGGTCGTATCGCAAGGAAGGTTAGCAGGATATTCTTGTGCATTTATTCAATCACGAAAAAGAGAAGACAAATTCCTAAACACTCTAATTCAATATTTTGGGTTTCAATTATCAACTAATGATTTAAACTAAAACAATGAAAGTAAAATGACAAATAAATTCACTGAATG